GACCGCCGCCCCCCAGCCATGCCGGGGAGCCCGCCCGCGCCCGGCCATGGACACGCACGCCTCCAGGATGACCCAGCTGAAGAAGCAGGCAGCCTTGTCCGGCATCAACGGCGACGTGGAGGGCCACGGCGAGGAGGTCATCTGGGTTAGGCGTGAAGACTTTGTCCCCAGCAGGAAACTGAACACGGAGCTCTAAACCGGTCCCCTTCCCCGCCTGGATGCGTAGGTCTCCCCCGTCCTGCCCTCCGTCCCTCCCTCCCGCCCCCGCGCACCGCGGAGAGCTGATCCCGATAGATTGCACACTTGCACACACCATTTCGGCAGCTGAATTGGTCCGAAGCCATGCGGCCACACTTTAGGCAACTGTAAAACGCTCAAACCTGGAATGGAATAAGCTTAAGGTCCTGTCTTATGTTACCAAGGGCTTTCACACTATTTTATTTATTCTAAAATAATCAGGGGCTGAAATTAAGTATGGGGAAATATCATCACTGGAAAACAAATTACTCTGGATATCTTAACCTACGTGCAGCAAACTAGCTTAAACGATAGCACAACGAACAGAGGGTTTTATAGCTGTAAAACGTCAGTTGTAGGTTCATCTCCTTAATGAGGAAACTGCCTTTTTAACGTGTACAGTTGCAGTATTCTTACTACTTTTCCCTCTTTAAATGTAAGAGAATATACATGTATTTTAGGAATGCGTGAGGAAAGGTTTGGGATTTATGTTGTGTTAAGTCCTCTTGGTCTGTGGCTGGTCTAATTTAATGTCCATGTTGGAAGCTCTAGTTTTACATAATACTATAAAGATGCCAAACTCTCTTAAGAGATCCAAATTTAACACTTGAAGAAATATTTTTTTTTTTGTATTTTACCTGAGATGCGGGGGCACAAATGGATAAGAGTTTTACAGCGTTAGCGTAGCTCCACATCTAGGATACGAGGCTAGCTTTTTGCAGAGGGTTAGGAATGGTGGTTTTATATTAAAATATGAACTGGAAACTCTTATTTAGATATAACTTTCTTCAGGAAAAGGATTACTGTATATGTTTGAGACTGGAGTTTAGTTAGGTAATAAAAAGAATAAAATAAAATGACATGACTGAGTGGTAGTGGACCAAATTGATCCATGGTGTAACCTGGCTGGAGCCAGTGTAGCAACATCACAGATCCGTGTGGTCCACTCTCTCTGGTGGAGTTTGGGCTTAGGGGACAGGGAATTCATGGCCAAAAAACTGACCTCATCCACTCTCCTACTGTGGGTGAAACTAGTGTACTTTAATTCCTTTATAAAAAGCTTTTCCACTGCAATAGAGTGTGAACAAGTTCTACACAAGCAAACCTCTTTAACATTTTAAATCTTTTATTTAAACATCTAAAACAGGGTAAAATGTGACTAAAATCTTGTGGTTTTTAAGTAGACTTCCAAATACGAAACACAAAATAGCACTTTTTTTTTAAGATTTATATAGCTTTTCCCATTTCAGTTTCACCTATAGGAAAAAAAGGAAGATTATATGAAATTTTTTTTTTTTTTTTTTTTTTTTTTTGTTGGTATCTATTGATGTTTGACACATTAGTAGGTACTTTGAAGACCTGAAATTTTATAATAGCTTTAGGATTATATTTTATAAAATCCACTCTGACTATATTTTAAAACATAACAAAAATTATTCCCCCCAAAATTCCATCACTGTCTTTGTGTCCCAGCTAGCATTCTCCCCTTGCCCCCCCCCCTTTTCTGGTTTCTGGTGCACTATACTTGATCTTATGAAAGCTTTCTCTATTAACTTTTTGCTATCTTCTGATTTCTTTTCGTAAAAGCTTTAGAAAGGTTTCTATACCCTTTGTATTATCACATCATTGTTTTATATCATCTACCCGTCAGTTGTGTCCCAGCATATTAGAGAAGCGGAGGTTTTAGCTGTCCTATGCTGTACCCAGCGGAACACAGTCAGCGCTGAAATACTGGAAGGCTGGTACTGGGCAGGTACCGTTGTTCTTGTACATAATGTCATGACATGTCTATGTCAAAGGTTCTTATATATTTCTTTTATAAGCTGAAAGAAGGTCTATTTTTATGTTTTTAGTTCTATGAATGGAACGTTGTAAATGCCTGTCAGAAATAAAATACTGCAAAAAAATACAAGAGAGTGGTACGTGTACGTGTATGTGTGTGCTCCAAGATGGGCAGACCGCTCTCTCAGGAGAGGCAGGGCAGGCAGCAAGCCCTGCAGTAGATGAGGCTCTCGGGATCGCTCTCCTGGCTTTAATAACCTGGAGGGAGCCTTGTTAATAGTAACGTTTCCACCCTTAGCAGTGTGTGCCCTGTATCGCGTGTGGATATTCCCCTAGAACGGGCTCAGCCTGTCTGGGCTCTGGGGTAAGTAACGGCTCCTTCGGCCAGCACGTGCTGAGCTTCAGCCTGTCCCACCTGAAAGGCTGGGGCAAGCTTGTTGGCCTCCCTTCTCTCCTGTTGAAACCTCATTTTTGTTTATTTATTTCCCCAATGGAAGGTCCAAGCCTGGAGCCTGGCCTGTTAGGAGGTGGAAAACGAGGCAGACAGGAGATCAAGTGCCCGATGCAAGTGTTTGCCCACAGTGTGCCGATTTGATGTGCGCCTTGGCACCAAACGGAGCTTTCCTTTAGTGGGACCGCTAACTTCCACATGGCGTGTTCAAATCTGTAGCTAGCGACACTCTTCCCCAAATCTGCGAAGTTGCATCAACCTCTACTGAAACAGGAGTGCAAGGCGTGCTGCTGCTTGCCTGTGTCCTCAGCAGAGAACAGATGTGAACAAGTACGAACTTCTATTTTAAATGCCACAGCCTTTCTTTAGATGGGTTCACGTGTTTGTCTCCTCCGCAGTTTAGTTTTTACCAGCTACTGCAATGTTACCAGCGACTGACTTCAGCTTTCAGATTGTGTACGAAGCCGCTTAAAGAGCTTGGCCTACTGCAATAACATCATGCCTTGCATTAAAAATGTGTAGTATGTAGCTCCTTTATCACATACCCAGCCTTACACAGAAGGTGCGGTAGGTGGAAAGTGTAATGCTATGGACTGGTTCTTGTATTCTCACCTGCCCGTCGCTGCAGCTTAGGAAAGAGCCCTCGGGGTAAGGCTCAGCTCACATCTTGCAGAAGTGAGAGTTGCCGTTTTCTTTGTGATGTCCATAACTAGTCATGCCTGTTTCTTTTTCTGTGCTGGCCTCAAGGCACCTTAAATGCATATTTTAAAAAGAGAGAGGAAAGAAGCAGCAAATTCCAGAAGAATTCCTGTTACCTTGGAGGAGCTCTCCAGCGTCGCCGCGGCCGTTATTTTGGCCATCCCCCCTCCCTTTGGGGTGCTGAATTTTAGTCCAAGTGTAAGGAGCGCGCCGTGGGTTGGTGTTTCGTGCAGCCTGGGCAGGAGCCTCCCTGGCCCGTGGCGGAGGCCCTGAGTCCCACCGCTTTTCTTTAGGGGAACCAGGAGCAGCGACGAACAGGCAGTCGGGTTACGTGCACGGATTCTGGCAGACTGTCCCTAAAAGGCGGGCTGGTGGGACACAAGGGAACCGGTTTATTAGAAAGCCAGGTGTTATTGCCAGAGGTCCGAGAAGAACCTTTCACAGCCCCTCGGTCTCGCCTGCCGTAGAAGAACAGGAGCATCTTCTGTGGGGAGAGCACAGGCTCCCTGTAGCGCTGAGGGCTGGCAAGTGCTTTCCTCAACTCTAGTTTCACCGGTCAGTTGGGTTTTTGTTGTCTTCTCTCGCAGACCTGCCTTCCTCGCACCGGCCTCCGGACCAGCCAGGAAGCACTTTGTTTCTGAGACTATTGTCTCTGCAAATAACACGTCAGGAATGTGACCCCGCTCCCTGCGTGCGGCTATTTTAAATGTGGCCAGATAATCCTGGAGACGGCAAATGATGCTTCCCATGGCTCATGTTCCCACACTCCCGGTGTCTTCAGCAACTTGCTTTGCTTTCCTTTTAATTTTATTCACAACAGTTGCTGAGGTACTTCTGCTGAACACTAGACTTTTCTTTTTTATCCTTTCAATTACGAGATCTGTCATGCGTGTTGATCGAAGCCAGTCAGTAGTACTGAATGAATCCAAGCCAGCATTTTGGAAGCTTGCTGGGGCTCTGCCTTTTTGTGGGGGGAATGAGAGGAAAGAAAACCTTTGAAAAATTGCTTCCTCTGTTTCTCTTTTCCTTCGGCCACATCCTGTTAATAATACATAGCACCTCTGCGTCGTACGTGGGCACGAGCTTGAGCAGGTCCTTGCAATAACGAAATCTCACAGCGGCCTTAGGGCCTGGGTAAATTGTTCCCGTTCGAAGCTCGACAAATGCCGGCAGGTGGAGGAGCACACACGAGGCCCGGCAGGAAGCCTGTGGTACCGGCGAAAGGCTTACAGAAGGCTGCTTAGCCGTCAGTCTGGACTGTGTTTCCTTTTCGTTAATGTAAAGAAGTAATTAGCTGTCGTAAGGAATCCTTTCCTGTGGCCGAGTAGTAAAGTGATCAGAAAACTCACGCAGACTGCCTGGGCAGGAGGGATTTGTTTGTCCATTACATACAGCTGTGGTACCGCGTTTGCTTTCCCCTTTCAATTCCATGCTTCCAAGCAATTTAATCAGAGGGGGAGGGATGCTGGGGAGTCAGGGAATCATTGTGCGCAATGAAGTGTTTTCCATGTGACCTTCAGAATCAAGCTGTGGCTTCGGTGGCCGTTCCCCTCCGTGCACCGGCGTTACCGGTGATGCTGGCTGTACGCAGCCTCGGGGGAACGCGCCTCGGCGCCCCTGGAAGGAGAACAGCTCGCGCAGGCTCCGTCCTTGGCGGGTTCGGGAACCCAGGAACCGCGTGGAGACGGCCCCGAGCAGCCTGCTCTGATCCCGGAGCTGGCCCTGCTTGGGGAGGGGGTCGGACCGGAGCCCTCATGAGGGGCTTCCCCACCTCCATTACCCTGGGGTGCTGCGACTCCTCCTCCCCACCCCTCCGCACCCTGTCACACCGGACAAGGTTCAGTTTGTTTGTTGGGGTTTTTTTCCAGTCGGCCACAAAATGCAAAATCTATCTTGAACTTTGTATCAAAAGGTGAAAATATTGCAATGAAACCAAATAGACAGACTCGCAGGAGATAAAGCTTGGTGACAACCTTCCATAGGAAATGGCAGGAGCACCGATTTACCGGTGGGGTGGGACAGCTGCA